TCATGGTGGAGTATCTCTTGTGTAAGCTTTCTGCTTGCTTTTACTGACGAATTTTTTCTTTGTTTTTAGGAAAAAGAGACAGTATGTGAAATTCGTAGTCCCTAAATGGTTTGATATAGGTGGAAGTTTCAAAGGTACCGTGGCCATGGACAGCAGCGAGAAATAAACATGGGAGTTTTCGAGATCTTTCGCATGACACTCTTGCTCTCGACCTGAATGAAATTACAAAACGACAGTGCATTATAGCTAGACAACATGAAGGCTCTCTTCCTGGTCGAAAAAAACGAATTTAATTGCCCAACTTTTTCAGTGCTTGTGAAACGTCATAATCATCTCAAACGTCTTAACTACACTGCACCAGTGATGGGGGTATACCATCACTTCGGATATTACATTTAACAACCTTTACATAGAAAATTCTCTTGGTTTTACATTGCATACAGCCCATTCCAAGACAATGCCACAAACCATGCAAGTGTATCTGGAACATCCATGGCTTGCCCCCATGTCTCAGGAATAATTGCATCATAATGGAGTCCACAGATAGTAACCACAGATACAACCATAAGATTTTCTTTATTTTATCTTCTAGATTCCAGTGATAACCTGGGGGAGCCTATAAAGGATGGTTACCCTTCAACTTTGGTGGCGGGCACAGATCAATGCAAATGCCCGCAACTCACCCTGTCCTTGTTTACGATGCCAACGAAACCGAATTCACGGGCTTCCTGGCGCAATCCACGGAAGAAACTGGTTGTGCAATAGAGGAGAATATAGCGTCCAGCGATCTCAATTCCTCCATTGCAATCTCCTCGCTGAGGAAAACGAGAAATAACGTGGAAGACAATGCCACAACCTACATGGCGAGCGTGGAACATCCAAACGGTGTCTTGGTGCCTGTGTATCCCCCGGAATAGACCAAATCGTTTAAATTCAACTTGAAAGTGAGGAAAGGTTTTGGATCTCTCACTTGGAACAATGGTAACAAAGTGTGACTAATCATCTTTTTCTTGACATCGCCTGGTGTCAAGGTTGATGAACCAAGCATGGAAAATGGTAACACACATTTTCCTGACTGACATACCATTGTGGTTATCCTTCAGTTGTATCAGTTTGCCAATCACTAGCAACATCCATGGCACGGAGCTTTTGTGGCCGAGTTCCAGGCCTGCCACGTTGCGGTGATCTTTGCTGCTCGAGCTGATCATGGGATCGCATCAATCTCTCGCGCCTGCCCCTCGGTGTACTTCTCAAGCCTTAATCCATCGGCAGCACGTATATGGAAATGGACTAAGTTGAGGGGAACCTCTTCAAATTTCCCAGCAGGCTGAGCAGAAAAGAGCCGGTTCTTAGCTTAGTGGACTTGGCCACTCTATGTAGGTGCTCTTTGCAAATCATGAAACTCCATCAGCAATCCTCCCTCATGGTTGGTGCTTTTTACGACACCAAGCATTATACTAACCACAGTAGATTTTAATTCTTTTTGTCTTGGGTTAGAAGTAAGTGCTCACAAAAAGCACCAATGATCGTGGAATGGCCCTGGTGCCAAAACAGTGGCTATCGGCAAGGAATGTTTGCGTGTCATTACTGCCTCCTTCCATGGCCAGCACTGCCATGCCTGGGATCCATTACAGGCGAAGTACACTGGGAAGTTTGCATTACCTTCGAAAGCTGTAGTAGTTGCTTCTGCAAGTGGCCTCGTATGCATCCATAGGGGCCTCAACTCCTCTGTGATTCACCTGATGGTGAGCAATCCAGTGACCCAAGAGTGGAGCCAACTACCACCGCTCCATCTGGAAGAAGGTCGAGTATGTGATCGACTTTAACATGCTGTTGAAGTCGGCCTGCTTTAAAGTTGGCTTGCTCGGTCTCGGAGTGATGACTATTTCTATGACCTTAGTATCCGGGATTGTATGACCTTAGTGATCACCGGGGAAGTAGTGCGTACAAAGGGCATGGGAGACAATGTCGAACAAGGTGGAAAGATCCTATGCCAGGCTACAACGAGCTCTGCGTAGTCGATGGCTATGGCGTGTGGAAAGTTGATGACAAAGGTGGCTTGGTTACAGTCTCGTCCTGCGTGGTCATCCTGGGCATTGTTCAGCTTCTCGTCCAGGCGTTGGGACGGAGTGCCCGTTAGATTTAAAAGTTTCATATTAGTATAATTTATCTGGAGTTGTGAGTGGCAATCTTTCTATCGAATGGCTCAGTCACCTCTTCTTGTAGCCAATGTGTAGAACCATCAGCCATTCCTGATTCAAGCGCGGCAAAAATTTCGCTAGTGACAGGATCCATGGCGATCAACTTACCGCTTACCGCGTGTTTGTAAGAGCTCAAAAAATTCAAGCAGAGAAAGATCAATTTTCTTCGTCTTCATTATTGGATTCGTCTGATTTTCAGACAAAGAATCAGACGAAGAAAAGAAGAAATGAAGAGTGTTTTTTCTGGAGGTTGGCTTGATAGTTTTCGGCTTAAGCCTTCATTTGCCCTATAAAAGCTTAAGAATCCACGAAGATCAAACTGTTTCGCTACTAAGCACGTGGATCTGGATCGCATTGGAGTTCAGAAAGTGCGTTCGTAACAGCAAGTGTGACTGGAATTTGTCGGACATAATTTTGTAAAAATCCGCGTTTGTGATCCTTTTTGGTCATTTATAACCTTGGTAACAAAGGGAAAGACCTAAAAGCATGAAGAGAAGAAAAACGCTGTCGGAGCTACTCGGTCAAGACGACATTTTGGAGGCGGTTCTTACCTTTCTGGACTTGGCCACACTGTGTCGGTTCTCTGTGGTCTGCAAGTCATGGAAATCCATCATCAGCAATCCATCCTTTCGCCGTCGGTGGTGTCAAAATAGTGGAGAAAAGGAATCTTTGCGCGTTATGACCACTTCCTTGGATGGCAAGCTCTGCGCCCGGGATCCATTACAGGCGAACCATATTGAGAAGTTTGCAAGACCTCCACAGGGCGGTCATGTCATTGCTTCTGCAGGTGGCTTGGTATGCATCGACACGAGCTATGATCTCTCTAAAGATGTGTTTCACCTGTTGGTGGCCAATCCAGTAACCCAAGAGTGGAGCGCACTACCAGAGCTCCATTCAGGGGACGTAGAAAGAAGGCCTTTTGTGGGAGTGATCAGTGCCTCCATGTTTGTTGACAAAGTTGGCTTCAAAGTCGGCCTGCACTTTACCGACCCCGACAGTTCAGGCCACTGGTGCTACATCTACGACTCGGCAAAACGAGCGTGGTCTTCTCTCCCCAAGCTCCCGCTCTCGCCAACCTACATTAAGATGAGGGAGCAGTGGAATGGAGATTGTGGAGAGGCCAGCTTTCCAGACATGGACGACTTCTTCTATGACCTTAGTATCCTGGGATTGTACGACTTTGGCCGCACCACATGGATAACGGGAGAAGTTGTGCGCAGCCTGAGGATTACAACAGGCCTGGAAGGCAGGGTTGAACAAGATGAAGAGATCCTGCGTTGTGTTTTGCCACGTCCCGGTTGCTGCGCGGCGAGGCTGTGGGAGCACAATGGGCAGCGATACTTTGCAAGCGGCTGGGTGAACGCGGGAGGCTTCCGCGACCATTTTGGTGGAGTTGATGGCTATGGCGTGTGGAAGGTTGATGACAAGGGTGGCTTGGTTACAGTCTCAGCAGTGCTCTATAAAGCCATTTGTGATCAAGCTGGGCGGGTCCATCATAACATCCCTTACTGTTGTTCTACCCACGCAGAGGGCAATCTCGTCACCTTTTCACAGACAAACCTTGTCTGTGTTTACAACTTGAGCACAGGGCGATGGGGCGGAGTTGGCACAACTAAGGGAGTGATTTATCGCCCATCTTTCAGGACACTTTAGATCTAAACGGAAATGTTTCTTGGATAAAACTTCAAGATCCATCGAGTTCAATATATATAGCAAGTGTTTTGTAAGTTCCTGAAATATCTTAAACAAATTGGTTAAGGATAATCATTTCTACAAGTTGTTGCATTATGGCTTAGGGCTCATGTCGAGTTTGAGAACTTCGTCATGGTGGAGCGTCTCTTGTGCTAGTGCTCGCTCAGTGGTACTTCCATTTCTCGTTGCTTGGACGTTCTTTTGCTTACTCGAATTTTTCTCTAGAGGCCTGCCAAGATTAAGGTCCTGACCGTGGGGAAATCCCCAGACCCTGGCGTCCAAATGCTTCTGGATGGATATAGTCGGAAGATTCAGCGATACTGTGGCTTCCAAGTAGTGCAAGTCCGACCAAATCCAAAAAACTCCAGGCAAGTCTTGACATTCTCTCCAAGTTTTCCGGATCTTTTTCATTCCCTTGCAGCGATCCAAAGGTCCAGATCGAGGCCGAGAGCGAGAATGCCATGCGAAACATCTCAACCAGCGACTGGGTACGAGAAAAGTTTTGGTTTTCTCCGTTTGAAGGTTTGCGCGAGAAAAATCCCCAGGTTGCAGTGCTGGATGAAAGTGGTCGAGACGTAACTTCGCTCGAGCTCGCAGACTTAATCGCTGATGCAGCAAACAACGTAAGCTTTGCTTTTCTCCAACTTCTTTTTTTGTGGGTCTTCGAGTTTTCCATTCTTTGTTCTTGGGATCAATGTCAAAGCAGTGCAGCTCATCGCTACTTTTCTGTATTGGTGGACCATACGGACACGGCTCTCGCGTCAAAACTCGCGCAAATGTGACACTCCGGCTATCCTCGCTGGTCCTCAATCACCAAGTCGCTCTTATCGTCCTCGTCGAGCAAATTTATAGGTGCGAATCCATTCGATTCTTCGTTTCACGATCTAAACCTCCCAGCTTTTTAGATCCTGGACGATCCTGAGAGGCGAAAATTACCACCACTGAAGAGGAAAAAGTTCCATTTTTCTTTGCTTTCTCGAGCAAATCTAAGCTGGAAGATCCCTCACTAGAGTGGAGGAGAAAACTTCAAACGATGACCGTCCGATCGGGGCTTATAATCGAACGGTGGTAAGCCTAGTGGGGCTTCCTTTATTTTTATTTTCTTCCCCTTGTGTTGGAGAAAGAAGGGCGGAGCGCTCCATGATTCGTCACACTGGGCGTGGATGGGAGCTGGCGAGATTCTAGATCGCGTCACAGGTCTCTAGCAGGCGCCATTGATAGCAAAAGCCAGGGTTCTTTGGAGCGATCTCCATTCTCCACGCGTCTGGAAGAATTTCTTGGATAATCTTGCCCGGATTGTCGAGCGGGCACTAGTTTAGTCGCGGTGGCAGGGTGTTTTGGACCGATCCTGTCGCTGCTAATTGATTTGGGAGTGATTCTGGCGTAGGGGAAGAGATTCTTTACTCCGATGAGGGCTGGATCGCGCAGATTGTGTAAAGCTCTTGCGCAGGCAGCTACCAGAAGGGATTTTTTCTCTAGGGAAGTTCTCGAGACCAGCGCTCCGGTTTATTGTCAAGGCAGTGAAAGGATTTTCACCCTCCAAAGGAGATTGGCGAGTTCTACTATCGACACAAAGAACAATCATCCTGGTAATTAACTCTATTTCTCGTTTTTCCTTTTTAACTTTTAAAGCTCAAACATTCTATCCAGCTTCCAGGCCTCCAACTCTAAAGAGTGGAAATTCGAGAAGTTTGGAGCTAGAGAGAGCGGGACCTTTGGTCGAGTATGAGAGAAGAATTTCTTCTGGGCACCTTCTCCCCGGAGATAAATATCAGGTACGCTTTGGAAGCTTTTTTTTTCTTCCTTCCATTCATTTGCCTGTTTGATTTTATTCATGTAGGAGGATGCCTTGCGAGCTCTGCAAGCTCTGTTTGACTTGCTCAAAAGCACTGCTGCGGAGAGTAGGCTTGATAGAACGAGTGCCGAACAATCTCACGGAAGGTTTTAATACTTTTGGTAGAGAGACCACTTGATTTTCCAGCAAGCTAATCAGTCTTCTCTCATTTTCTTTTCAGAAGCAAGAGCTGGTGGTCTGAGTTGCTGTCTCCAAAACCATCCGTGCCATCAGTAAGAGGCCTCTATTTGTATGGCGGCGTTGGCACCGGCAAGACGATGCTAATGGATATGTTTTACGAGCAACTGTGAGTTTTCTCTTGGTTTCATGTTTTGTTTAACGTGATGGGTCAACAAGTGTAGGCCTTCGACGTGGAGAAAGAGGAGGTTACATTTCCACGATTTCATGCTGAATGTTCACAGTCGCTTGCAAGTAAGTCAACGTTTTCTATTTTTCAGTGCTTCCTTCTCCTTATTTTCTGTCGAAGTAAATGATTTTCTAGAAACTCAAAGGTGTGACTGATCCACTAGAGATGCTCGCTGAGGAGCTTTCGAAAGAGGCTGTCATTCTTTGCGTGGACGAGTTCATGGTAAGTCAATATCACAAGCTTTTTGCTTTTTATTTTTTGCTGGCAGCCTTTATCAAGCTTTCGCCACGCAGGTCACTGACGTTGCGGACGCATTAATTCTCAACAGGCTGTTTGGACATCTCTGGAGCAAAGGGATTGTAAGTCTGTCTTTTGTTTCTTTGTCGGCAAGGTTAATCATGGAAAACTTTATTCAGGTTCTGGTATCCACTTCTAATCGAGCTCCTGACCAATTGTATGAACGGGGCTTGCAAAGGGACTTGTTTTTACCGTTCATTGCATCACTAAAAGTAAGTCAACTTTCTCTGAGTGCGTGAGTGAGTGAAACTCCCTGTTCAGGAGCGCTGCGTGGTCCATAAAGTTGGATCCCCTACAGACTACAGAAAACTCAATGCAGTGAGTATTTTTTCTTGTGTTATTAAGTAGTAGTTATCTGAAAGGGAATTTGTGTATCATTGTGACAAGGTTGAGAAGGGGCTTTATTTTGTTGGAGAAGGAGCGTCTGAGATGCTCAAGGAAAAGTTCCGCGTTGTAACAAATGGCGAATTTACTGCACCAGCAACTGTTGAAGTTGTCATGGGACGCAGGCTCAAGGTTTGATACGACTTCTTCGTCTTACATTTCGTGATATATGCTTGGTTGTTTCTCAGGTTCCTATCTCCGCTAATGGATGCGCATATTTTCAATTCTACGAACTTTGTGAGATGCCGTTGGGTGCAGCGGATTATTTCGGTCTATTCAGTACGTGTTTCCGAACTAAGCATGTCGATTCTGTAGATCCGATCACCTGTGACTGCAGACCATTTTCATACTCTCTTTCTGGAGGGCGTCCCAGTATTTGGATCTCATAATCGGGTCGCGGCTTATAGATTCGTTACCTTGATAGACGTAAGTTCGTGATGTTCGTCCTTTGCGGATAAACTCAGTATATCTCTCCAGGTTTTGTACGAGAACAAGGCTCGTTTCGTCTGTTCCGCCGAGGCTCCTCCAAAAGAACTGCTCGAGCGGATTGTCACAATCGCAGACGCTCCGAAGCGTACGTCGTCAAGGTCCGCTCGGAACGACGATGCGGATTTACTCGTGGATAACGAGCTGGGATTCGCGAAGGAGCGAACTATCAGCAGGTAAATCTTCGCTCTAGCGGCTTGTTTTCTTGTGCTCAACCAGTTGGAAATTTTCGTGTCAAGGTTGATCGAGATGCAAACCAAGGAATACATTGATGATCACGCAGCGTCTCGTCTTGACGATGACAATGATAGCCCAGTGGCTACAGGCACAGATTCGTGATGTTTGCCACAAATAAAATTCTGTATTTCGAATATTCTGGAGTATGCTAGCATATTTTTGGTCACTGCTTTTAAATTTGAAAATGGCGCCAAATCGGCAATTTAGGGCAGGATAAACCCTAGCTATGAGGTTCGAGGATCTGGCGCTCAGCGCCGAGACGCTGGCTGTGCTGCGCGGCAATGGCTTCTACGATCTCACGCCAGTTCAGGAGCGCATTATCCCGCAGCTCTGCCGCGGCCAAGACGCGCTCGTTTGCGCCGTCACGGGCTCCGGTAAGACGCTTGCGTTTGTCGTCCCCATCGTTGAGATCCTTCGCAAGCACTCGGCTTCCTTCCATCCAGGACAGGTTAGTATACTTTTGTGTGTGTGTTCTACGTAGCTCTTCTTCTTTTTCTCATTTTTCTCGTGTTTATCTGTTCATTGTGGTTGCTTCCATCTTGTTCTCTTTTCCTTGCGTTAGAACTCTTTGCTTTTCTTCCTCATGGTTTGTAACTTGTGTGAAGGTTGGAGCGATTGTTGTGGCACCGACCAGAGAATTGGCGTCTCAGATCTTTGATGTGTCGCGGCCCTTCTTTGCAGGCCTAAACGAGTTTGATCCTGTGCTGCTTGTTGGTGGTGCCGACGTCTCTTTAGATGTTTCCAGCATCGAGAATTGCCCCCGAGCAAAAGTTTTGGTTGGCACTCCTGGCCGCCTGCTGGACATCATGCAGCGGTGTTCTTCTCACTTGGATTTTTCTTCCTTGAAGGTACTCAAAACTGAGATGACCCCTGGTGCCAAAGTGTTTGAGCTACGCAGGTTTTGATTCTGGATGAAGCGGACCGGCTGCTTGAGATGGGACACGATCGTCGCGTCTCGGAAATCATCAGTCTGCTTCCTGGACAACGGATAACCGGGCTTTTCTCTGCGACGGAAACAAAAGAACTTGCGGTGAAAGCTGGTGTCCGGCAGGAATACAGCTTTCAAACGAAAAAACAGACTCCTTCGACACTCAGTGTACAGGTAAGCGTATTTTATCGATGAGGAGAGCACTAACTCCGACTTCTCGCAGTATCTCATCAGCGATGCTGATGAAAAGTCCTCGCAGTTAGCACAATTCCTTCTTGAACACAAGTCCAAGAAAACTATTGTGTACGTCTTTCTCATGGTTTTATCTGTTAAGCTTACGTTGCTTAGAATATGACACTATGACAGATACTTTATGACCTGCGCCTCCGTGGATTACTGGGGAACCATCCTTCAGAAGGTTGATATCATGAAGAATGTGTCGATCGTGGTGCTACATGGTAAAATGAAACAGGTGATATTTATTTGCGTTTGATGTCCGTTTTTACCATGAACTATTGCAGAAATCCCGTGAAAATGCCTTGCAAAGATTCACCGACATGCCATCGGGTGTGCTCTTCTGCACTGATGTCGCTGCTCGCGGACTCGATATACCTGGTGTCGACTGGATTGTGCAGGTAAACGCTTTGTGATAAAAGTTTTGAGGCTCGCTTCGTAACACAGTAATTTGAGTCATCTTGTCCAGTATGATCCTCCTCAAGATCCAAACACGTTTGTTCATAGAGTCGGGCGTACTGCAAGAATTGGACGCGTTGGCCATTCTGTTGTGTTCCTTCTTCCAAAGGTACTTGAAACCATGTAAAGCGTCTAAGGGCTGCTTTGAGTGTCCTTACAGGAGGATACGTATGTGGAGTTTCTGCGCATAAGGAACGTTCCCGTCGAAGAGAGAAACAAGCCGGAGGCGATGGATATCATTCCAATGGTTTGTGTGCTGTTTGAAAATGCCATTGCCTGACTTTCTGGTGTTCATCGCAGTTGCGTGCAGCCGCTGAAAGTGATCGAGATGTAATGGAGAAGGGACTGAAAGCATTCGTATCGTATTTTCGAGCGTACAAGGAGCACCACTGTAACTACATTTTCCAGTACGTAGCGGTCGTTAAGTTCCGTCGTGTTTTGATCTTTCGATGTTTAGGTGGAAGAAACTGCAGCTTGGCAAGATTGCCATGGGCTTTGGTCTCTTGCAGCTACCTTCGATGCCAGAGCTAAAGCGAGGCATTTTCACGTCGCAACATTTTGTCCCCGTCGAGGGGATAGATTTCAGTGCTATCAAGTACCGGTACGTGTTCCTCGACTTTCTCTTCGCCTACTCATCGGTCTTTTATCCGTTCAGTGACAAATCGCGGGAGAAGCAGAGGCAAAGGGAGCTAAAAGCTGCTCCTCGCAAACGTTCCAAGCCCGAGAAATGTTCCAAACAAGACAAGAAGAAGATCGCAGCTGTGAAGAAGCTCCCCGGCAAGAAAAGAAGCTTGAGAGACATGGAAGAGCTGAATGAAGATTACCGGCAGTGGAAGAAACAGCGACAAAAGTGAGCTAAGCTTTCCTTTTCTCATTGTATTCAAGCTTACTACGCTGTTGAGAGGGAGCGAGCTATGTCTTGGGCAGCACGAAGCCCAGGCCTTTCCCCCAACCAAGCGCCGGACGGCATGCGGTGACTCCTTTGCCCAGCCGGATCTGGCCTTCTCTTCCGGTGCTCACGTCCAGGCAGTAGACCTCCTTCTCCGCATAGAAAGCGTAGAGAAATCCTTCACACAGCACGAAGAAAAGCTTAGAAACGTTGGTCAGTGTGATCACCTTTTGCGCGCTCGACTTCCACGCTCGGATGGGCCACTGGATGCGATGCGCAGCGATCCACTCTCCGCGGCCATGGAGCTCGAAAACCTGGATGGACTCTTCCGCGGGGCAGCAAAAGATGGCGCTCGACTCGGACACGCCGAAACATCCCTGGCGATGGTCGGGCGCTTGGATGCCGCTCACGATCAGCGTGGAGAGGTCGAGAAGGAACATTTTCGCTGCCGGGGACGCCGCGTTTGCGATGAAGACGATCTTGTCCCCGCCGATGGCATGCGCCTGGTACTGCTCGGCCCGAGAGAGAGCGCCGGCGCAGGGCTTCCTCTCCCATTCCCAGCTCGAGGGAGCGTCGGATGCTTGGGGCTTGGCCGCGGGGATCGTGAACACGGCGATGCGATCGGGGGCGATCCAGGAGATTGCCGCCACGCTCTCGCCGCCGTCCTTGCAGTGGAGGAGCACGGCATGGGCACACTGCGCGTTGAGCGCTGGCAAGAGGACGGCCGATCCCTGCGTCGGGGAGAAGAGGGCGAGTGGCTGGGGGCCAGGAAAGCTGTCCACCAAGATCGAACCGGATCGAGATATCGCCACGAAGTTGTCGATGGTCGGAGAGGCATGGACAGTGCGCACGGTGGCGTCGCCGTAGCTCGCGAGGTGGATGGAGCCTGGCTTGATCTTGGCGGAGGCGTTGAGCAGGCGCAGCCTGGACGATCCGTGCGCGAAGGTGACGAGGATCTTGTGTGGATCGCTGGCGCCGCAGAGGATCCCAAGAATGCGCTTGTCGCGCAGCACATCGGAGCTCATCAGCGCCTTGCACACGGTCTTGGATAGCAAGAGATTCTTCCAGCCCAAGAATGCGGGCATCCTCTCCACGACGAACGCCACCACATCGTGAGGAAATGTCGAAGCTTTGGTGGAGAAAGGCGAGGAAGCCATAGCCGTGAAGCTGTGAAGCCGCGAAGCCAAGAACCACGATCACGAAACCAAGTGCATTGTATTTGTATGCTGGCGCGAGCACGGCCGGGATATTCCTTTGTGACGTGTCTAAGTCAACGCATCTTTGACGAGATCTAAAATATTCTAACGGCTCACAGGTTTAGGGTTCAATTCCGGACAGCAAGAATAAAAATAGTAAGAAATAATAAAACAAAACCGAAGAAGAAGAAAATAGAAATTAAAGGCAAGGATTTTTGAGGAAGCAAATATTTTAAATTTACTTTTCATCGAATTACAATTTTGTATATAAAAGATATGTATCGTTGATTTAAAATATTTCAGTAAGTTTTAGAGCCCGACTTTCACTTCCTCCACTTTCGGCCTCTTGGGCGTTGGCTCCCGAGGTTGATCTTCGAGATCTTCTAGTCCGACCGGTGTTGGGAGACGATCTTCCATTTTGCGGTGGTCTTCGGCATGGTTTCTCGGGCTGATTCTCTCCTGGTTGGTTTTGGACTGCTGCTCATTGTTCTTGCCAATGTCTCCTCCCTTGCAGCTTGCGTTCAAGTCGAGATCACACTGACCCGCGCACGGACCGTGGAGCTTTGATCGCCATCCTCGAGAGTAGAGTCTCTTGTACAGGTCTGCAGTCTTTACCATTGGAAGATGCTGCTGCATGCTAACACAATCAACCTGTTTAGCTAGCGCGCGAGCAGAAGCTCGGCCGGGGAGAACTATTAACCTGAGCGGCCGGAATCCCGTGTACAAGCTGCTCCATCTCCTGCTGGAGCTTGAGAACTTCCGATCTCATGTAAGCCTCTGTGAGTTCCTCCATGCCGGCACCTTGTCCCACGGCGATGGTGTGCTCTAAACCGTGAATGGTGCTCTCCAGGCTCCTCACCTGATAGAAACACAAGCTCTCAAGTCAAGCTCATCGAACGAAAACAAGCTCAAGCTGATCTACCTTTCGACCGGGCCATCGCTTCAATCCAAACTTCCGGCAAGCTTTCTTCAGAGTTGTCTGTGACACGCCCAGTTTCTTGGCAGCGTCGACGATGCTAAGGTGGAAGTACGCGGACAAGTCGGAGAGTATGAGATGGTGAGTTCCAGCACCCTGGATAACAACGACCGTTGCTGGCTGTTAGTTACTCGGCTGTTGCAAGCAATGGAAAACAAGAACGAAAACAGTCGCGACTGCTTTTACTTACCACTTTGCTCCGCCGGTTGACGAGGAAGACGAGCTCCGAGCGTCCCTTGGACGCGTCGTTGGTGTCCGCGCACTGAGGCGAAGGATTGCTCGCATTCGCCGACGACGAGGACGCGTCCTTCTCGTCGGTCTTGGGCTGCTTGTTGGAGGCTTTCGCGTTGGCAACCCCGGGCTTTGGAGCCGGTCCCGCACGCTGCTGCAAGGAACTCGCAGCGAGGTCGTTCGCGGCTGGCTTGCCGAGCGGTGGGAAAGCCTCGAAAGGTTGCTGCTGTTGCTGAGAGTTTTGCGCTGGCGTGAAAGCCCGGAGCTGAGCTGCGAGAAACTGAGCGAGCAACGCGATATTCGGTGCGGGAGCGTTCGCTGGAAACGGCCTAAATGCTGCTGCTGGAGCGTTTGGAAGCAGCGGTGCATTTGAGCTGGGCCTGCTCGCCGAGGAACTTCTCACGAGAAACTGAGCGAGCTCGGCCGGCGATGGCGTTACCGGATTGTTGTTCATCATCCCAGAAAATCCACTGCCGCCGCCGCCACCCGGAGCATAGTTGCCATTTGGTTTCGCTTGCCTGCAGTCTGCATCGTCGGGACTTTAGTCGCAGCATGGAATCGATATCTTCAAACCTCTGAGCGGGAGTCCGCCGAAGCTCGGTGGTGACGCCTTCGAGCAGCCCGGCGTGGATTCGTCCGCGGAGGTGGGAGTCATGCTGTAACTCGTTGGAGTTTCGTTCTTTGGAAAGAACGTCTTTGTTCTCGGGGCCTCTTGTGGAGCGCTGATGGAAGCCGGGCCTTCGTCACCTCCATCCTCTTTCGCTGTGACGCCGCCGGAGGTGATCATCGCTACCAGTTGCTTCTCCCCCATGCATATGAGAACGTCTTCCAGCGTTGCGTCCACGTCGAGCTCCTCGGGTTCGGAGCCATCCGGCCGCACCAGCTGCAACCTCTGGATGCTCTCGCCTCGCGCGATGAACTCCAGCCGCCTCGCGTTTCTCTGCGCAAGTCTTCACCATCATCGCCATCAGCACGCGGAAAGAGACAACAAAACTTATACCTCGATCACCCTCGCAAACTCCTGCAGTGTCTCGTGAACGTGACGCGCGGAACTCCACTGATGCCCATGAACTGAGACTGTGAACTTCACCTTCTCGGTGGCTTGGCCAGCGGGAGGATGGCGCTGGAATCCTTGGAAAGCACTGCCTGGAGCGGACATAGTTCTTGACACCGAAGAAGTTTAGCGGGAGCACTGCGAAGGAAATGGATCAAATGGTCTAGCTCGACCACCAAAATGCAAGAGAATTCACGGGGACAGTACCAGAGCATCGAAGCCTTTGCGTGTTTTTTCGGCCGTTGGCACACCAAGTGGCAGTTATATTGTCCTTTTGGCTGCCCACACTAGTTTTTCCCTTTCCTTTCGACGTTTTCTGCCATGGCGTTTGGCCACCAAACTGCCATCCTTGGCCACATTCCCTGCTTTACGCTTCTAAAACCTGCCAGTGGTCAGTCTAGAAAATGCAGGACCAAAACTGTGAAGAAACAAGGATATCATACCCAATTGTCACCCAGCAAAAGTCGTGTAGCCATGATTTCGCCAAGTCTTACAAGCACGGAGATTTTCTTCTGAAGTGCTCGAAGATGATCTTTTGTGGGAACCAAAACACAAAACACGAAAAGACGGTAGCAGGATTCAGCTGAATGCCACAAACAAGTTAAAGTGTACCTCGTCAATAGGGCTGACAGCCATCGATCATAGCTCAGGAAATTCCCCCTCCCTGCTTTCCTGACCAAAGCCTGCTTGCAGATGTAATACCACTTCTTGCAAATCTAACGTACCAACAAGCCAGAGAAATGCAAGCATAGGGCCTTGAGTTTTGTAAGGGTTCAAGTCAAACGTGATGCCAGGATCATGTCCTAAGAGATAAAGAAAATACACTAAACCAGCTATCAATGGATGAAGAAAATTGGAAACAGATATGGCGTGATGAACTGAGGAGCCATTCATTGTCGCACAGCACTGGTTTATCCAAGATGCCATAAAATTTACATGGCAAATTCTGCAACAAAATTCTACTATAACATGCAAATATGTTGATGATTCACATAATTTAATACAAATCTTTCAAACTATTTAATAGATTTTTGTTCTCCACAAAGTTTAAATACCTAATCTTATTCCCTTAAGAAAACTCGTTAGTGGAAGAGAGGTAAAATCAATTTATACAATACGAAACTCTCACCTCTCTCCAAGGCGTTAAGCGATACGTGATCTGTGGAGCAGCTCCAGCGAAAACACCACCCACAAAATGGACAACTGATCTCCTTTGCTCGGTCTTAGAATACAGGCTCCCTGGAGAAGGAAAACAAAATCACCAGTGCTCTCTCCGCGAAAGAAAAAAACACAGATAGAGCTTACTTGGATTTCTTGCCAGCGTCCAAGAGTTCCTTGTGCTTTCATCGCAGAATCAACAAAAACCCTGGAAAGAAAGAAGAACAAGCATGAAAACGAGGCAATTCATCGAAATTCTTTCACCAGCATACTTCTCGATCTGTCCATAGAGCTGGAGGCTATCATTCTTTCCTTGAGGCTTCCCTTGGAACTCGAGGAGCTAGAAAACCTGGGATTGTCTCGTCGCCGGTGCCGCGGTAGCGAATCCAGTGCCTGCCCTGGCAGAAGAAGCTCCGCAGTCGGGAAGGGTCGACAGCAGCCACGACACTTTCAAACACCAAAAACCCTCGAAATATTTCCATTGGAGCGGAGCTAGCTCGTCTAGATGGTCATTCTTCCTAGGGTTCTGGAGATGAGAAGCGATCGATGCAACAATCGACCGAAGAGGAAGAGGAAGAGGAGCTGCGCAGCTGCGTCGTGGATTATAGTCCACCCACTGCTAGGCCTAGAATCGAGCGCGAGGTAGAAGAAGGAACGATCATCACCTCAAGCTCTACCAGGTTCGCCTCCAAGATCAGCACCAGAAATTGACACTGGAGATTACCCGCGTGGAGGAGGAGCCAGATCCTGCTCCAGTGGCTGCTCCATCCCAGGAAGAAGACGATGGATTCCATCTCTTTGGGAAAGCTCCGGCCGGGATAACGATGATAGAGAGAGTCAGGGATGGATCTCTAGAGCACAGGGCTAGCAGCAAGCGCTACATTCACAGTACAAGGGGGTGGTTTTCTAGTGGCAGGAACTCGTTAGAGAATGTAGTGATCGATGCTGAGAGTGTGAGAGTAGAGGCTGAGAAGGCGGGAGAGAAGGCTCTGGCGGAATTGAAGGATAGATTTTCTAGAAAGGAAGAAGCCATCGCTAGAGAGAACTCGAGGGTGGCGGCACTGAAACAAGTCAGGGGTGAGAAGTGGATTTGGTAGCTCAATTCATGTTCTTCATCAGAGAGAGAAGCCTTCTCGAAGGAGCAGCGATCAAGTTCACTAATGTAAGTTATTGATTTTTGACAATCCTGGGAGAAACTATTTCTTTCTCGTATTCCTTGTGCTAAGCATGACACGATGGGAACTTACAGGTTCTCAGATTTTTATACATTTGCTTTAAGAACCCAGACCGAATCAGTCAACCACTCTTTGAGATACAAAGACACGTTGTTGCCACCAATCACTCCACATAATGGCTGTATCGCCCCCTCAACTCCTTGCCGTTTCGCCCCCTCAACCTTTTGCCGTTTCTGTGGGGAAAACCACCCATCACTAGGGAGTTGACTGGTAAAATAGTTGAAACCAGACTGTTCCAGATCCTCCTCCGTATGAGGCAAAACTGCCAGTTGCAGGAGTCCATTTTCTGAAGCAAGATCTATAAGCCTGTTCAAACCTCCATCTTCTTTCTTCCTGCATTTCATCAAATCGAGAGCACTTGAAACTCCACCCTGAGTAGCCGCATCAGTCTTGGATTTCATATGTAATAAGCAAGGAATGAGCCGCCGCTTGGACCCATAGTCATTGGTGAGAAAAAACAACGCGTCTGGACGAAAGCCACCCCAGCCACCATCACCAGTCCAGAGAAGCGTTGGAAATGCGTCAGCCTGCCTTTCAACGTCGTGGAGATACTTCTCAAGTGTATAACAGTCAGCGCCATGGGTGTGACTTTTACCGCACATCTTTGTCACAACTTCCGTTGCAACCCGTGCTTTCACCACCTTTGCCTTCTCAAAATATATTGCGGGAACTTCAAAAGTGCTGTTGCGCAGTTCCACACTGCGATTCCGAAGAAAGCGAGAAACGAAGTCTACAGGAGCCTTTCCGTCCAATGCCTCAGCTAGCCTTTCAAACTCAAGACCCACTGTCGCATCGCTGCCTTGGCCCTTGGCTTTAAACTGCTGCTGAAATAACTCACCGAAGCCTGTTGGCCGACTACAAAAGTAATGAAAAAGAGCTCGCAAGACAGCAGGTTCCTGAAGTTTGATCCAAGTGTCTCTATCCTGCTTTGCAAAGAACTTATCCAAGTCCTCCAACGCAACACTGTTTTCCGTGCTTAGCCAGGCTAACCTGGACTCCACAAGGCTCAGAGACGGATTGTTGATGTTGAGTATAGTGGATATGGACCCAAACATCTGGTGATACACTATCACCTCTAGCTCCTTGAGCGCTGCAGCATTCCGAGTGCTTTCAAAAAACAGCTCCACATCCCTCAGAACCGTCTCATCCATGTAGACTTCCAATCCTGATGTGTTTGGTACACCTCCCAGAGAACGACTGATTGTACTTGAGGTGCATATCTTCTCAAAAAAGTCGATCAGAAATTCTGTTGCCTGCTCCAAGGGGCGCTTGCTCCCAATGAAATGCTCAAGTGCTGTGACAAAGAACCTGTACCTCCCTTTGTACAAATCACAGACCCTCTGCATATCAATACCATCCACACTTTGGAGCAGTTTGCCAGCATAGAGCTTGAAGTCCTCAACAGTGATGAATCCACCAAATCCATGAAAGACAACAACAGAAGCTTTCCCCTTCAGAGTGGCAGAGATATCCCGTGCCACAGTAAGCATCCTAGCCCCGGTGCCTGCATAGTAGAATTGTCGAAATCCACTATTTATCAGCGCCGGCACGAGAATATCTAGGAACGATCTCGTACCACTTCCAAGAGTTATCGAAGAAAATCGCTTTTCCAACCAGCGGTTTATCATCTTGCACTCGTCAAATATGATTGGACTATTCCACTTCCCTATTAAACGATCCCTCCCTATTAAACGATCGAGTACCTCCTGGAACTGACCTTCAATGGGTTTCAAATCGTCTTTAGTTCGTATAAGGTCTAAAAGTCTACCAGTGAGCGCCTTGAACGGATCTTTGAAGTTGTACAAGTACTCGAGCGAAGGCAATGCAACCTGCTTGAAGAGCCATGCTTGACCTGTCAAATAGCCCGTTTTCTCCAGCTGCCCCAGCAAATAAAACCTGCTAATGAGCAAAGCTTTGAGACAGACTGCAGCACTAACTTCTGGAATATCTCCAGTTGGATACAGCTCCAGCAACTTTGATGCCACTAACTTGAGATCTCCTGAACCTTCAGCTCCAATACCAGTGTCGGAGATCCCCACAAAGAAGAGCCCACGCTGCGCTACAGCGATCTCATACAATGTCCTGGTCTTCCCTGATCCCCGCACGTTGAAGAGAACGGTGAGGGTCGGCTGCGCTTTGGAGGTTCCCTCCAGGATACGCTTGGATGCTTCGAAAGGCTGGTCTAGTGCATGCCACAAGAGGCGGGGGCATTCATCTGTAGGATCTTTTGGCAGTGGGACTTTACACGTTGGGAAATCCGCCAGAAACGCATCCGCCTTGGGATATTCAAGGTTTGGCTTGCGCAACTCATGCCAAAACCTATCCAAGAGACTCTCTATATTTGCCACAGTCGCTCTGACTGGTTCTGCAAGAAACAAGTCAAAAATTTGCAAAAGAAACGCGCCTGGGGACCCAAAAAGGGACCAAGAGATCTAAAAAGGAAAGACAAACAATAGGCTTACCCTTCGACTTCAGTAGCTGCTCCTTCTCCTTGCGCAGCTGCTCCTCCTTGTCGCGCAGCTGCTCCTCCTTGTTGCGCAGCTGCTCTTCCTTGTTGCGCAGCTGCTCCTCCTTCTTGACCAAGCGCTTCCATGGCTGCGAAACCCTAGCCTTTAATGGTCAAATATTCCTTACTGCAAGAAATATGATCATTTGTTCTAACATTATAAACTTGAAAGCTGCCCTTGCTGGCCAGATCTTGTCGATCCTATTGAACAAATTCGTTGAACCTTAACAAATTTCTTGTAATTTTGAGCGTATGAAAACAGTCCGTACCAGGGGTGTAGCTCAACTGGTAGAGCATGCAATAGATAAGGGGATTGATGCCCCTCTCCTCCACTTCCAAAAATTAATTGAAGATAATAGAGAGGAGAAATGCACTTGAAAAGAGGTCTAAAAGGAAAATCATTCACAAAAACAAAGTCAATCACAAAATGGGGGGGATCCTTGTGTGATTCCATGCTCTCAACAGATGCACACTGATTGTGAGGTGAAATATGCGGCTGTTTTAACTAAGACAACCATAGCAAAACCTAAAATACTATTTAATATAATTGAAAAACCTGTGAGAAGTTATTAATTTAATAGATAAAGTAGAAATTTGTAATTATAAACATGTTTATAATTTATAAACACAAGACTAATTTTTCAACCAGTAGGGGTGGTAGAATAAACTAGAATATACTATACAGTGTTTGAATAAAAACCATTTAGAATTCCTAGAATTTCCAAACATCTTCTAGGTAGTTCAGTTTCCTTAAGAAAAGCAAAAATATAAATTATTATTTATACCTTTTAACTTATCCCTCTATAAATATTATCTTTTATATATATATATATATATAATAATTCATGTATAATTTGTATTGTGTGAATGTTTCAATAAAAATTTCTAGAACCCTAAAATCAATAGCAATTGATAATAGATAAATAGAACATTAATATCAAATTATATATATTTTCAACATTTAAATTAAGATGGTTATTTAATATACATATGTTATAGGGATGTAGAGTTTCATACTATAAAAATGCTATAACTCATATATGTTAGAGTTGAGTTTATTTTTATAATTGCTATGACCTGATGATGCTAAGTCATAGGATTCATATTTGACAAATAAAGTGCTCTTTGCTTATTTAAGAAATTATATCAAAGTTACAACAAGTGGGATTACAAGTTTATAAGGTTTATTATAATATATTTTCTAGATATTATGCATGTGTAATAGTTGAAACACTTCATACAAAGGAATTAAGAATAAATTACAATGTTTGAGGCATTGTAATAACAAATTACAATGTCTCCATCTGATATTCCTTCATATCTTGGCCCATTGACTAATTATTTTTCCTCTTTATGAAATACAATATTGATAATTATTAAATTTGATTCAATCTAAACCATTCACTCTTATAAATAAGCTAAAGTTTTGGTGCACACTTATGTATTATAGGCTATGCTGGCATATGATATTACATACTTTAATATGTTGATTTACTATCCTAATTGTGGACTAGATCCATATAAAATATACTACTAAATTACAAACACGCTGAAGTTTAGTTGTTAATGACAACAACTTTCACTTTAGTTATTATTAGCCAAGCCCTTGCCATTGTCATCCCTGCATCAACTTGTTCTATCCTTATAATAGAATGAAATCATTTCTATAAAGATGATATTAATGTTAACAAGTGTGGGTTTAATAATTGAATCCTAAAGTTTATATCCTTTCATTCCTCATTATTAGCATAGCTAATGAAGATAAATTTTTTGCTCTTAGGATCAAGCTTTTTACATAGTTGATCTGGGACTTGAGTAAAAGTTGTGCAGCCAAACATGTGAAAATGAGATATTCTAGGCTTTCTTTCAACTAGACTTCTTTTAAAATTTACTTGCATTTGAGTATAATAGTGGGCAATTAGTTTTGAATATACATTGTTAGAGCAATTGCCTCTTACCAAAATTCTTGCCCAACTTTACACCAAAAAGGAGGCTATGTGCTACATTCACTAATATGTGATTCTTCTACTTCACATGATATTCAATCTGATATGCATAACAAAAATTACAAAGGGCATTATTAAGGTATTCCTTTCCTCCTCCGGTTTGTAATGCTTTAATTTTTCATTTGAGTTTTATTTCAACAAAAGTTATATAATGTTTGAAGGCTTTCATAGATTCATCCTTTCCTCATAAGAAGAAGATGTAAGTCTTATGGCTAAAATTATCAATGAGAGTCATAAAGTATTTCGTACCAAAATAGTTGGGAATATCTATAGGCATATATAAATCAGAGTGAACAAGTTCAAGTGGCTGACTGGTCTAACATTATAACGAAGAAAAGTTTTGATAGTGATGTTTGTCTAGCACGTAAGACTCATAAAAGTTTCATATATTCTCAAAATCTAAAAACACCACTATATCCTTTGGATCTAACTCTTGCAAAGCTTTAGATTCGCATGTCTAAAGTGACAATGTTAGATATGAGCTTTGTCATTAGACACCTACTTAACATTCGTCACACGTTGCTCATAAAAGGATACTTGATAGAGATTCTCTTGATGTTGGTGCATGTTTTATACATCATCTCACTATTAAATGTGCTTAAAACATAATAAGAAACTCCTCTATAGCGAAAACTTAATAGATCATACCCTTATTATGGGAAGAAAGGTATATACCCTCTGGCGTAGAATATCCTCTCTCATGCTTAGAATATTCCCTAGAGAAAATATTTAGAGAATCTCTATAAGGAATATTTAGAGCATCTCTATGCTCCAAGATGCTCTACAACAAATAACTATAAATGAATCAAGTAGCTCTTTATCACAAATAGAACCCATGACTTACAATTGTAAAAGTTAGCAGTCAAAGACAAAATATATACCCAAGAGAGGTAACTGTGGAAAGGGAATGAAACAACAACACCTCTATCCTTTTTATTTTTCTTGGAGTTTAAAGACAAAAGGAGAAAACTTCATACTCAAACTAAACCTTTGGTCCAGATAGAAAAAGAGTGAGAATGTGAAGAAAAAATTAGAAAAAAGTGAGAAAACACAAAAAAAATTAGAAGAAACAAGAGAAAGATGGAAAAATCAAAGCCCAAGTTAGAAACTTAAACCTAGATTATAACCTCTAAAATTCTTAAACCCCCAATAAGTATTCCAAATCTCCCCAAAGTTTTGCCATGGAATGGAAGTGTGTTGCCCAATGATGGAAAGTGCGAAAAAGTGTGATAATAGAGGGAAATGGGTGGAAAGATGAGTGTTTTAAGGCATGAAAGTATTAGTGCTTAGTCAAAAAAAATGCTAGCAATAATCCGTGATAAAAAGCTCTTTAAATGACTAGCTAAATTGTGCCAAAACTAGAACTCAACAATGACATACCAAGAAATGCAACAAACCAAAGTATATTTTCTGAAAGAAGTTGCTAGAAGTTAAAAGAAATAGGTGGGAAAATAAGTTGCACCATGGAACAAATTTGGATGCTTGTGCATAAGGCCCAACCAGCCACTAAAGCCTCTACTTCCACTGCTACATGTGTCAAAATTGTAGTATGCAAGAAGGTCACTGTTATAAGTTGGAAATGATTGTGTTTCTCCTACTGAAACTTTGCTAGATGATGGAGGCCATCTATATCAATACTCTATGCCCATAAATTACTGAAGAATGCTGAGCTAAACCATGGTACCAAGTGGAAAAATGAAAGAGGTAATGTGGAAAAAACAAGCAATGGTGTAGGAAATGAATGGAAATGCAAAAAATGATTATGAAAAGTAGAGCGAAATGGGAAGGAAGGTGTAATGAAAGTGATGTAAGGATAAAGTGGAATAACAATAGTAAAATCTAGAAAAACTTGAGCTTCTAGATGATTGAGTTTAATGCTATATGGAGAAACTATGCCCATGCACAAGTTTACATGTGACGAACTTGGGACCTAGAGATAAAATAAAAAAAATTTAAAATGAAAGAAAAAAGAAAAGAAAAAGCTAGACAAAAGAAAAGAGTAAAGAGAATGAAAAAAGTGTGAATAGCAATTTAGCAAGGCCTTGTATGATGAAAAGGTGTATGATGATGTCTCTAGAGGCCTAAGAAGGTTGGAAATTCCAACATGTCTCATGTTAGAGCTGGCTAAGCTAAGTTGTCATAGATGTTAAAGTCTAAAACTTGCATTGTTGTCCTAAAAGCCACAATGATGTTGCACTTAAGTAGCTTTGAATAATAGATGAAGGTGCTAATGACAAGCTAGGGTTGCTTATAGAAGTCTAGGGGTTATGCAAAGCTTGAAAGTTGAACCAAAAGCCAAGTGGAAAGCTCAAAGTTAAAGAAGCCACACTCTTTGTATCATGTTGTGTTAAAAAGTGCCATGATGTCTAGAAGTCCTACTAAAGAGGCACTAAAGTCATGAAAAAGTTATAGAGTGTTTGCATTTGCCACGTTCATCGCTATGAAACCATCAAAACAACAAGGTGTTCTAATTGACTGCTACAAGTGTGGATGGTTATGGCCCATAGCCGAGTGTGGCTGAAAAGAGTTGTTGCTCTAAGTTGAAGTAAGAAAAATATATTAAAGTTGTGTAAATGCCACCTTGTAGAATCTTGGGATTTACAAGCTTAAAACTCCTATGTAACACATCCAAACTTGTTGATAACAAGATGGAGAGTAACTAGAAGAGTCTCTTAAGTGTTATTGTGAAATTTTTATGCCAAAAATATAGAAAAACTTGCCATTTGGGATGGAATAAAAGTCATGTTGAGCATCCATAGTAAAGTATATAGAGCCCAGAAAGGTATTTAAAATTTAGTGCACAAAAGATCACAATGGGGTGGATCCATTGCCTCCATAGTTAGCTAAAGAAAGTTTCTAATGAAAACTCTACTGTGGCACTAAATGCCAACAATAACAAAAGATCGTTGTTTTCCAAGAGAAATCAATGTGCATTTGGCTTGGTGATCCCTAATGGGCTCCTCCATTGAGTCAGGAATGAGCTTAGCTTTAAATGACGAGGCCATACTCTCTAGAGGACTCTCCAACAAAGGACAGGTATTCACAAGAAGTTCCACAATGCTTTCCTCCACAATTTCTTGGTTTTCTAGGAGTGACATA